ACCAAATTTGAAGGTTATTTTCGCATTATTACCATCGTATATGTTCCATTTCATTTTTATTATTTGAATATAGTTTTTGTAGTTCAAAATCGATACGAATACAAAAATACTGACTATATATTAACCGACTCTCTATAATGTATAATTAAAAATTAAGATAATGTAATCATAATTTATTGATGTTAGTTCAAATGTAATTTATTTGTGGAAGATGTTAGTTTTTGGTTATTTATTTGGGAAACATAATATATATTTTGCATTACAAGCGTTTACCTTTTGAATTTACTATTTGTTACTTTAGAATTTTATTTTGGCTTGACATAGCCATGATCATCCCATATTTAATAATTTGCTCTTCTTGCACCTTTAATACCTACCGACTTACATTCATTAAATCAAGATTTAACATTTTTTAAAACCAAATATAGACAAAAAAAAACATTTTAAACTCAATGGATACGCTAAAAAAAACATGAGACTTGCCTTTTGTGAGATCAATAATACCAAATTTGACCACTTTCTGCAAAATAATTTAAGTACCAAAGAAAACCATATTGCCAAAATATATAATATCATTATTTAAGTTATAATCTGTTATATGCCGAAAAATTGAAATTTTCAGTCAAAACTCGGTTACATGCCATCAAAGTTGAAAAAATATCCTTTATAGTTAGATGAGTGTATTAATTTAAAAAATCATATTTAACTTTTTGTTGGATGTATTTTTTGACGATAGGAACAATTATCAGGTCAAACATAATCCGTAAAAATCATCCTAGCCAAATAATAGATCACTTAATCAATAAAATAGAATACCATAGTCGTAGATGGTAATACAGTTAGAACATCTTTTTCTAAAAGATCAAGAAATAGACAGTTTATTAGAATACTTTCACATTGATAAAAGTCATAACAAAGTGCAATAGATTGAATCAATAGTTTACAATAAATATAAAAAATGAAGCCCTATCAGAGATAGAAAAACCTGAGGACAAGACAAAAGAAAAACATGTAACACTAAAAAGTTGCAAAAAACAAAAAACACATGATGCTAAAAATCTAGAAAAAAAAAACAAAATTTATACCAGGTTGTGAGGTGAGCGTAGAGAACTTGTGTCAGATTCTTTGAGACATTTCGTTAAACTTCTAAGATGCATGTTCTAATAACCTATCTTTTGAATGTAACATGACAAAAAAAAAATCCAATGTCACAGGAAAGTGTAGGAAATGAACTAAATTAACATGTATTTAGATTATGCAAATTATTTTGAACAATGTCCCTTCAAAAATATACTTATTATTGTTTCATACCTACATACAAAGTTTAAAAAAATGTTAATTGTATATATAAAATTTGATTCTACCATATAAATACGACCACATAGAAAATTTAAGAATCAAATAAAAATTTTGTCTATAATACCATAAATATGATATTCAAGGAAATAAGATCATTCCTAATTTAGATTCTAACTTCTTAGCCTACTTTTAATGTGGTTCATGTATTAATATTTAGAGAAACTGGTAGGCAAGAATGTTGATATTAAGTGTTGTATATTTGTTGTTACTGGTAAAAAACTAAGTTTTATTTTAAATTTATTTTTTTTCATAGTAAGTATGTTGCTATAATTTGTAATAAAAAAATCACATAGCTATTGCAGTTTGTAGAGGTTGTTAAGGATCGAGTCCAAGTTAATAGGTTAAACATTTAATATGAAAAGTTATACATTGTTGTTTTGTTTAACTTAATCTTAGACTGAATGATGTAATATGTTAAGCCAAAAAAACCTTATGTAATGTTTTATGAGATTTGAAAAATAGAAACATAATTTTATTAGATAGAAAGCAATCTTTGAATGATTGTATTTACTGTACAGAAATATATAATACTTGAATAATTATAGTTTAACATTTTCTAGATTAAACTGTTTATAAAATCCAACCCCTTAATAATAAATAAAAGATAAATTAAAAGAGACATCTAAAACATGAAAAAATCACAACAGGTTACTGTTAAAAATGGTATAACAATGTACTTTAAAAGTACATTCCTAAAAATGGTATAATATGAAGTTATTATATTTGACAATAAGGTTATAAATAGTAACCAAGTAGAGATAATCAAACAAACAGAAATAGTAGCAACAACCGATTTGATCCATTTTTAAATTAAATTACCGATTTACCCTTCTGATGAACATTGTCCATACTAAATTTTTTATTTAGCCTTCGGATAAAAAATGGAAGTATCATGTAAAAAAAATCATTTTAGTACACGTGTCATCTCAATATCTATTGTTGAATTGCTTTTCCAGCCCAATGTTTTTCTAGTTTCCTAAGTCGAATTATCTTTTTGCCCTTATATTTTATTACTTGAAGGTTTCATCTATCTAATTTGCAATTAAATTAAAATAAATCACATAAATTTAGAAGTTTATTGATACCTTCAAAAGGTAAATTCGAATCTTCTTTCTTTATTTTATCCCAAATAAAATTACCTTTCCGCCTCTAAACCTTAAAATCATACTTAACATTTAAACAAATCCATCCAACAATATCAATAACCTTTAGTTATGATTTCAATTTAAAGTTAGAAATGTTGTAATTCAACCATCATATTAGGATATTAATTTGTATTCAAACACTAAAAAAATATATCTTTATTCCCATTATACCCTTATCCTCCATTTTCCATTCGGTATTACCATATATTTATCTTAACAACAGATTATTTGAGTTCTATATCAAGATTGCAATCCCTGTAATTCAGCCAGCAATTTAAGATATTTTATACAATCAAAAATAGTAACCAGGTTGAGATAATCAAACAAACAGAAATAGTAGCAACTCATGATTTGATCAATGTTTAAATTAAATTACTAATTTACCATTCTAATGAACATTGTACATACAAAAATAATGATTTACCCTTCGGATAAAAAATGGAAGTATCATGCCAAACAAATACATAAAAATTTTGATTACAATGAACAAGAAAACGGGTAGGGTGCATTTGTCATTCCATCAAATTACTTTGATATATTGTGTTTTAACTGTTTTCCATCAAAGTACATTATTATTTTTTATAGATTAAAGGTATGTAATATATTTTCCTATTTATTTGAAAAGTATCAGAAAAGTAGTTAACCGATTTCATGTAATTTGTGACAAATAAAATCGAAATATATGAATACATATATTTGATACATGAACAAAATAATAATCGAAAAAAAATATAAAAAAGCGAAAGAAGGTACTGACCTTCTAGTGTATAACAACGAATGTTTGAAGCAGAGAATGATGATGAAAGTTATAAGCAATAAGAATGATGTTGTAGGAGAAAGCTTGAAGAAAAGCAACGATTGAAAATAAGTGTGAGCCGCGGATTCAGAGATGAATCGTATGTGTTAATTTGAATCTGATTTTTTGGTATTAATGGTTTCCTAATAAAAATGGTTTTTATATTAATGGTTTACTAATATAAACGAATTTATATTAATGGTTGATATTTAATTGAAATTGTTTTTAGTAATATCTTTTTAAAGTTGACCATTTTAAAACCTTGATAACCGAAAATTCAAGATTTAAAATTTAGGAATCTTTTATTAGAATTAAATACATTCCATTTCAATGGATTTAAGTTAATTTTGTGGAAAACTCTTATTGGAATTAAATACATTCCATTTGGGGATGATGATGTCAGCAATTTGATCTAAGGGTGGAAAACATAGGATTGAAATACAATCAATGCCTAGATTGTTTAAGATGATGTCATAAGATTTTTTGTTTTAATATATACTAAAGATAACATAATTATTAATATGCTCATTTAATGACTTTTTTAAAAAAGAAAAAACTAAACGGATTTGAATTTTGAAGCGAAAAGCTATAAATAATGGAGTTAAATTATGAACAATATTAATTAGGGTTAATGATGACATAGATTCGTCAAAAGATGTCTTGAAGGAGTTGCATGCTTCAATTTGTAGAGATTTGTGTGAAGCAAAATAGAGGTGTGATAATTGGAGATGTAAGGAAGAGGCAATATGTAAATTCTAAGAATACATGAGAAAAAAGAAACCAACTTATGGTGCTACATTCTGTTATGAACAAACAAAGCATCAATTGAAGCACGACAATTGACATGATGACGAAGAGTATTAGGGAATTATGGTTTAAGAGAGAAAAATAGAGGAGAAAGATGGTGCGGCTATTCATGTTTTTTGGCCAGATTTATGGAGAAACTGATATCTCATATATAAATAGAATGATATGCTTTAATCGATAACATAATTATTGATTTTAAAAATTCTATAATTAAATGTAATTGTGTTCGAATTGTGAAATATATTTTAAAAAGTATGTATAGATTCTATAATTAAAGATTCTATAATTAAATGTAATTATGTTTGAAATGTAATTGCTAAATTTAAAGATTCTATAATTAAATGTTTGGATTATATTTTAGGAAGATGATGTCAGCAAATTGATCTAACAGTGGAAATCATATGATTGAAATATAATCAAGGGTCCTGATTGCTTCATTGATGAATTAAGGGTTCTCTTTTAATAATATTTAAAGATTTAATAATAATTTAATTTTTTTCATTTACAGAAAAGTGAAAACACATAAACAAAAAATGACAAATATGTTACTTCAGTAAACCCAGTAAATGCCCCGGCAGATGATGAAAATGCACATCAAGCAAACTTACAAAATCGATCAATAGCTAAAAAACACACATCTAAACTCTATGAATATATGAAGAGATGAAAACACACATCTAACAATGTCAAAACCAAGCGATAGATAAAATCACACATCCAACAAACATAAATTCCTCTTCCGACAATGTACGCAGCATTACGTTTGTTTTTTTTTACAATATTATTTTCTTGAAAATTAAGAATGCCTAAACAAAAGTGAGATTCATAAGAAGAATAAAAGTGAGATTCATAAGAAGAATGGCTGTATATATGCATGCAAGTTGGTCCTCGTATCAACCAAAATAATCTGCACAGGAGCAACTTCCATCTTGGAAGTGATGGAAATACCTGTCGTCTCTCACTGTGATCAACCTTTTTTTGACTTTTGAGATTAATTTCATAAAAGAGTGGCAATCATCACACATCTTCCCTGAGGCCTTTATGATAAAGATTGGTGCCATGTCATGTGCATTCAATAGGGCATAAGCTACTGCAAGCTTCTCGCTGTGATAACCATCACATGAGTCTTCCACAACATTACCAGCATCTGCTTTAATACTAGCAAACAAAGACTTGATTATTTTATGATGCTTAGCAAATTCTGGGTCACCACTGACAAGCGAAACAAACTTATGTGTTTGCCTCTTAACCTCAACCCAGCTCAGCTCAGGTTCTTTATTTCTATCCCTAACTATTTTCGTCAATTCAGTGAGGTTTGCAGCTCCAAAACTTTGTAAAGCTTCTTTCTCATCAGCCAACCATTCATCAGGGACCAAATCTGCAAGTCGGGTAACCATATTGTTTTTATCAACATGAGGAGCATTGAGCATGATCTTCCAAGCATAGGAATCGAATTTGATTAATGGTGTTGATGCCATGAAATTAAAAGCTTCATCTGGTTGTCCAGCCTTGATTAGAATTTTCATGATACACGTATAGTGCACTGAATCAGGTTCGATGCCCTTCTGTTTCATTAACTCATAAAAATAGTAGAACCCTTCTTCCACAAGCCCCAACTGTCCACAGGCACTGAGAACAGCAACAAAAGTCGCATAAGTAGGATCTAATTCCCCTGATTCCAACATTTCTTGAAACAAAGCCAACGACTCGTTTCCAAAACCATGAAGGCGGTATCCACATATCATCATATCCCAGGTTCTGATATCATCAGTCGTCATACTAAAAAACACTTTTTCCGCAGCTTTAATGTCGCCAGTCCTTAGGTACATGCTGATCAAGGCATCCTGGACTTTCTTATCACCCTTGAATCCAGTCTTCTCTGCAAATGCATGGAATAAATTTCCCAAACTCATAGAGAATAACTGAGCACTAGCATCGAGTATTACACAAAAGGTAGATTCGTCTGGAACAACATTGTCATGTTGCATTTTCGAAAATAATTTTATTGAAGCCTCAAAGAACTCATAATCTGAGGAACCATGCATCATTGTTGTCCATGAAACCATGTCTCGAGCTTTATACGCACGTAAAACATTCAGAGCATCTCCAACATTTCCACAGTTCCGATACATCTTGACCATTGCATTACATACAGAAACATCAAGCTCGACATCACTCTTTAGCAGCTTGTTGTGAACTTGATTCCCCAATTCGGAATATTTAAGGCGAGCACAAAGACCAAACATACCTATATAAGTAGTTTTGTTCCACACCATATCATCAGCCATCATTTTCCTTATGATATTCAATGCCTCATCCAAGAAACCTTTTTCAACCACGAACATATTATATGTGGAGGTATCCGTTTGAGGGATAGAAACTAAAACCTCCACAGCCCCTACCACATCCGACAACATGCGATACAAGTGTACAAGTGGAGTTTTCACGTACGGATGACACTCTAATCCAGATTTCAATAAATACCCATGCCACTGTCTGCCTAAAAAAACGTCCTCAACTATTATACAAGACGTAAGCACGAGTGCAGATTTATAGTGGTTAAGGCGGAAATCCCGATCACGCTTTGAAACCCATTTTGATTTATATGTTCTAAGAAAACGAAAAGCAAGCCCCTTTGGGAACTTCCCCGAAATTAGGTCGTCACTCCACGAAACTACGTTTTGTTTATTCATTTGATCAAAATCACGTCGTGCAGACATCAGTGCTTTAAATTTTGACAAAATATAGAACACACCATTAGTGCCGGACTGATCATTAGGCACAATCGAACGAACGTGGATTACCCATCTCAAGATTCTTAGTCCCGCCTAAGCATCTTAGAAGCTTAGCCTGGGAATGTGCAGCCCGAATCAGGGAAGACATTACTATAATTCCACCTCCCGTTTAATACTGAAATCAAAATTGACATATATTAGATGTTTTTCCACGAAACTGTTGTTTAATAGGCAAATGTATCAAACTACAATCTACTTAGCTTGAAATTATGACTCAGTTTCTTATATCAAAACAAAATAATTATCCTAAATAAGAATATCTTCACGCCAATGTATCTTCCTAACACAACGCCTAAAAGCAAAACCTAGCACATATGGATATATTTATTAGGGTACCAAAACTTAATCCAGATATGTAAGACCCGATCTTTACAGCCAGCTAATCCAGAAGAAGAAAAATCAAGCACACTATAGCTTTTAACCCACTGTAAACCATTTACCTAAAAATTCAAAATTCAAAAGGCAAGAAACAAGAACACTAGAGAAAGATCTGATCTTTACAGTCAGTTAACCCAAAAGCCTCTTATAGATGAGAACGTTAGTACCTGAGACATTAGCAGGATTATGTTCGACTTTTGCTGGAAAACACATGAGTAAAAACAATCATCGCTACAGAAAGAGGGCGAAGAAGCGCATCAGAAAGTGAAGGTGAAGAAGAGTTTTACAGATTATACCTGAAACCACGGTATCGTCGAGCGATCCAACGACGAAGGTGTGAAACCCTAACACAAACTACACGACTCGTCAAACACAAAAACAAAGCTAAACTAAAATTAAAAATAAAAGACAAAACTTCAAAAATGGTCCCTTTGGTTTACGAAAATATCAAGTTTAGTCCATAAGTTCAAAAAACCTCATAGATGGTCCCTGTGGTTTCAAAACTTTTAACAAATGTTCCTTCCGGCTCACTCCGTTAGCATTTCACCGTTAACTCATTTTTTAATATTATATTGCAGGGGTAATTTCGTCATTTCTTTTGTAACCTTCTCTCTTTAAAAGAAATTGCATGTCCGATTTTTGGGCAAACCCTTTACCTTTATCAGTCGTCATCTTTCTTCTCCCTTCCACTGTTCTTCCACTGTTGCTCGACCGTTGCACCCTTCACGACATTCAATCGCTTCTGATTCAAAGATGGTGACTTGCAGATGTGGGAATGAAGCAATGAAGATCACTTCATGGACGGATTGTAACCCTGGAAGACAATTTTGGAACTGTACAAGATGTGGGTTCCTTCAATGGTCTGATCCTCCTATATGTTCTAGGGCATTGGTGGTGATTCCAGGTTTGATAAGATCAATGAACCGATTGGAAGAGAGGGTTGCCATTGCAAGTGTAGAATTGTGGAACTACCAGCCGATGTTGTTTTGTTCATGGGTGTTTTTTTTGGTATTATTTTAATCTCTAAGTATCTTGTGAAGGTTTGGATGGTAATGGAGTTTTGGTTTTTGGTTTGTAACCATTGTAGGAGTTTTTTTTATTTTAATCGAATAGGGGTTTTTTTGCTTTCAGTTTATGTAGGGGGTTTTGGAATTGGTGTTGTTGTATTTGGTTTATGTATCAGATTAATATGTAATGGAGTGGTAATGGTAATGGTAATGGAATGTAGTTTGTAATAGTTGATTGTTCAATTTCTTGAATGTTTTTGAAATGCAATTGTTAAGTGTATTGTAAATGCTCATTTAAGATGATTTTGATTTGCAATTGAAATGTACAATGTTATTAATTGATCTGTGAAGGGTAGTACACAAAACAGATTAATTCATTACCAAAATGGGCATACTGCATACACACCATTACATGCAAATTTTTAAAGTTCTTAACACAACCATCATACTAAGTTTCAAAAGACCTACAACACAAGCTTGACTTAAGTTTCAAAAGACCTACATCACAAGCATTACATGCAATAACAACTAAAGTTCTTAACACATCTTCAAACAATTACATATGACTTTAGTTTCAAAAGACCTACAAAACTAGCACCAGGTCCAACTACTAAATATACTTTGCAGCCCCCTCCAACTTCACTACTGCCTCCCTGCCCTTTACATGTTCTGGAATTGTGCCCTTTGTTATGCCACTTAGAACAAGTGATTGCCAGATATTTCCTACTCAATCTACCAGCTTGGCTGTTTGGCTCATCAACACCCCTCCTTCTCTTCTTCTTAGGCCTACCAACCTACACATATTGATATACTATAGTTAAAATTGAATTCATTCCATGTTCACATGTTTACTATATAATTAGTCTACTTGAAATACAAACCTGTGTTTTATGTTTTGGTGGAAGTAAAGTGAATGGGCAGTCACTTTTAGGCCACATTGAACGTCCATTCAATGGATCAATTTTGTTGAAATACATGGCTTTCCATGTTGATAACCTATAGCAAGGATGGATCCATTCATCAACATGTGGGGCATTTTCACCATTTTCAATTTTGTCCCATATAGCACAAACAGCATGTCTACATGGGAAACCTGTAATCTCCCAAAACCTACAACTGCAACTTTGGTCATTCAAGTTTACCACATACTGGTCTTGCCATGTGCTTACCACTTGGTACTTTTCCTGCCCCATTGTATTTAGCCACATACTTAGCTGCATCAGTCTTAATCTTTTCAAACACTGTAGTTGCAGTAGGGGTTAGAAGTCCTTCACACTTATCTATTTCCTTTTGCACCACACATAACCTCTTCATGAGATACTCTCTAATATACTCTAAGCAAGTGATAATAGGTTTATCCCTACCTTCATCTAGCTTAGAATTGAATACCTCACAAAGGTTATTCAACAAACAATCAGTATGTGCCCTTCCTGAATAATAGATATTAAGAGAAACAAATTACACATATAGTAAACACACAATAGGGAAGATTAAAATTTATCAATAAATTTCTAGAAACTTACCACTAAAGTGAGATTTAGCCCAAGTGTTTGCTGGGATCTTACACAACCAAGCATGAGCCTCTTCATTGATCTTCTTCAACTCATCCATTGCTCCCTTAAAATGATTGACTGTTGTTGCTCTACCACACTCCCAAAGCTGGTCACTTAAGTCTTTTCCTTTCCACTGTTTCTTCATGTTTTCCTGGATATGCCTCAAACAGAACCTGTGTTCTGCATTAGGGAATACCTTCTCCATTGCTGGTATTATTCCCTAAACAAAATTCAATGTATTCAACATCATTTAGGCAAATGTATTTAGAAATGGTACTAAAAAAAGTTAGGTGATACACACCTTTTGTCTATCAGAAATGAATGTGAAGTTTGAATTTGCTCCCAGATCCAGATCTTCTCGTAACAGTTCCAAGAACCAGGTCCAACTACTTGTTGATTCTGTCTCTACCACTGCATATGCTACATGGTATATGCCATTGTTTGAGTCCAACCCTACAACAGTTAACACTTGCCCAGGGTAAGGGCCCTTCATGAAAGTACCATCCAGACCTAGAAAATCTCTTAACCCAGATTTGAATCCTAACTTCAATGCACCCAGACAGACATAGTGTAACGCCCGTAGATCAGGGCTAGTCAATTTAGAGACAAGGAGCATCAAAAATTATTTTTTGATGGAAGATTATTTAGAAGGAGTAATCTTAACTAAGTTGTAGTATATGTTACAAGGATTCCGTACGTATAAAGAACGCCGAAATCCGAGTTATAACGAAGAAGTTATGACATGTCGAAGTTTCGCGACAGAACCGGCACGACGCTGAATGACGTAAAAAGTGAATTTACGTTTAACACCCATAAAATTTACACCAAATTTAAACTTTTAATATCAACAAAAGAACCCAAATAGTAATAGTTTTACAAAACATTTCCAAATCATTTATTATCAGAGTGTCCAAAAAATAGATCGTAAGGATGAGGAGCGGTACGGTCACGCCTTCGCCTTTCCTCGATCTCCTGAAGTACCTGAAACAATAAACTGAAAACTGTAAGCCCGAGGGCTTAGTGAGCTACCCCCAAAATACCAATACCATACTGACAGAAACCATATCAATAACAATCAATCAAACAACATGCATACTGGGCCATCGGTCGGACTGGTCCGCCCTACTGGGCCTACAGTCTGTCTGGATCTATCCCGAGCCTTCGGCATGACTGGTCCGCCACGTAGGCCTACAGTCTCCCCGGACTGCTCAGAGGGTGTGTTGGCCTTCAGCACAAAGCAGGACCGCCTCAACCCAACCAACAAGCAAGTAACCATGTGCGCATACTATCATATACTGGCATATACAAACATCAAACATATCAATCTCACTGGTCATCAATCATAGAATTCACTCGTAACTAGAGTATCGACCTAACAGGTCACTAACATACCAATCCCTACGGATCATAAGAGTATAACATACTGTCTACCCTGATTCCAATCGAGCAGATCATAATCACATGTAGCATACCATAACAATAACAACCAAATGGACGGCCTTGGTGTCGTAAACCCTACCGATATAGTGAGGATAACTCACATCGCAGATGTCGACTCGGAAGGTAAACTCCAACTATCGGATCACTTGACACAGGCTCCACCACCTATAACCATAGCACAATATACTCATAAGTCCTTAACCTTATAAGGCACTCCATAACCCACTAGTCAACTCCTGATCAAGGTCAAAGTCCTCAGTCAAGGTCAACAGTCCATGTTGACCTCAACTTGCTGAGTTCTTGGAGCACATTCCTACTTGCCGAGTCATCGGGGTGACTCGTCGAGTTCCTTCGAATCCCGATCAAACCTTAAGGCCACCCGTCGAGTTTCCTCCTTGCAACTCGACGGATATACACGCAAACATATCCTTGGCTAAAACTCATCCGACTCGCCGATTTGTTCTTCAACTCGTCGAGTTTTATGACCATCTTCATCCAACTCGCCGAGTTGTTCATCCAACTCGTCGAGTTTAATGCACATCTTCAT